GTTTCATGACAGCATGGCCCCTACAGTTAGAATTTCTGGTTCTGGTTTTTGAAGCTGAATGTGCCTGTGTTCCTTTTGGCTTTGGGAAAATAAATGGGTCTTGATAAGGATGGGGCTGCATCTTAGCTGCTGCTTCTCTGAGGAGAGCTGTAGATGCTGGGAATGGCATGCTTGTCTTCCTTCCTCTCTATGAATTACACTTAGCTGACAGTGTCTCACACAGCACCTTATTATCCAAGCTGTCCTCCCACTTGTATTGTATCTGATTGTGGGTCTTAGTCATGCAGTCAATGAATAAGCAGTCTGAATGGAAGCTTGAGCTGTAGGAGGAAGGGTTGTGGAGGGCCCCATGCATCCGCCAGTGCTCAGCATGGAAGTTCTTTCCTTCTGTGTATGTATGTGCTTCTGAGTCATTCAGTAAAACCATTCAGGGATCAATGCCATGGTCAATCCTATAAAACAAAGCATGTTACAACATTTAAGCAGCATTAAAAGTTTGGTTAAACAGGGGCGGGAATGTTGAAAACCCAGCTTCTTTTAAAGCATGCACAAAGGGAGGTGAAATAGCAAATTCAGAGAAAAGACTGCTTTAGTGATGAAAAACATTTGGAATTGTAAAGTTGAGTAAGACAGCCTGGTTTTATCAAAAAATGATGAATTAATCAGAGAACAACTTGTCTATGTGAGAACTAAGCATGAAGATTGCAGGAGTCAGCAACCTTTCCAGATCAGATTTTTTCTTTCCCAGACAAAGGTTAAGTGTGCAGGTTACATGTCTCCTGGCTGTCGCTATCTACTAAAATAGGAAATCTGTGGGGCTCAAGAGTCCCTTTTTGCACTGGGGCAAGGTCTGTTTATAAGCACAGCTCTGAAGGCTGCTGCTGTGGGCTGGTGTGCCTCTGCTAATGTGCCCCATGCACCAGGGAAGGGCTGGCCAGGTATTTTTCATCAGGTTAGCTCACATGACAAGGCTGTTTCTCGCCATTTACACTGACTTTTACTTCCTCAATGCTGCTTATCATGCCGAACAGCAGCTCCAAACATCCATAAATCATCTCTGAAGAAAGCAGAGACATAAGGAGGTCTTTCTGCCACAGATTAATGTGAAAGGCAGCACTTGTGTGTTTTGGCAACAGTTGTACAAGAGATTATTACAAATTCATGATTTAACAAAGACATACTGATTTATTGCTGCCAAAGGGACAGAGAAGTACCATAATTGCACAATGTCTTAATTGCTTAAAGGAAATGCAAAACTGTGGCTATAAAGGAGCTAACCCTCCTGCACACGTGTGTTCACATGCACACATGCCATGACAGTTGCTCTTGTTCTCTCCAAGGGATGCTATTCAATTTCTTAAGAAACAGTGAGAGATTCAGTGGCCAAGAAGTTGGTATCAGCCCACCTGCCAGTCTATGGAAAATGCAGAGTATTCTGCCCCAAGACTAAATGTTCTTTTGCTGAGAAGGTAGAGGAGCAGGCATGGACTTACCATCTCACAGCTTACACCTACCCAACTGTTTTTAGGGAACAATTAATCATCCTCTTCTGCTCTTCTCCCTCTCAGAGAGCACTCAGTGCCATTACTGACAATCAGCTAATATGCAGTGTGATTGATTCCCTTTTGGGGGAACTCAAATGAGTTTCTCCCACCACACCAGTAACATCAGTCTTGGTGTGAGATGACTGACAGCCTGAAGGAATACAAGTGCAAACCATAAGCAGGCAGTCCTTTTAGTGAAAGCACTACAAATAAGATAACCACGTTATGAATGTCTCTTCCAAGAACTGAATTGTAAAACCACAATCGATTACTAAAGTGTTAGTAACACTATAAATATAGCAACCAGATGGTCCCTTACCCTAGTCAAGGGCTGCCAGGTACCATGAAGGACAGGTAGAAACAAGAATTAAAATACAACATCTACAATATGCATAACCACAATAACGCTCACATTTTTAAAGGTTAATAATAAGAGGCATTTAAATCCTGTCCTATATAAATAACCAAGGTCAACCACTGATGTCTTCTAGCAAAGCCACTCCCCATTTTAAAACTCTACCTATTTTCTGGGCCAGGATATATCACAAAAAGCAAAGAGACGAAAGCTGGATGCCCCACCTGGGAGCATGCACTGAATCCTGGATGCCTTCTCTTTGCTTGTCGTGTGTGAACCCAGGAGCTCAGCACTGCTGGTCTGTTCCAAGGACAGGATTTAAGATATTGTGGAAGCCTTCAGCCCGACATCTCCAGACTTTTCAGCATTTCAGTATACTTCCTTAATAATATTTGTCTAATACAGCTTTTATTTGTGCTATTTATATTGTCTGAATTTCTAAGGGTTCATTTCCTATAAAGAGCACGGGAATTAATACTCTTCAGTGCTGGTCTTTGGCATGAAGGATGTGCCAGTCCAGGCTGTGGTCCCTACAGGCAAGTCTTCTGCGGGGAGGATGCTTTGTTTACTTTTTCCCTGTCTTTAATTATTGCAGTTGTTTTCCAAGGAAAAAAAAATCATCCCTGCTGAGCAGTGAGCAGACCTTAAAAAACAAACTTTTCCTTTGTCCTTATGGAAACCCCATCAGATCTGATCAAGTATGATGGATTTCGCTTAAAGACAAAAGTTCATCAAGGAAGAAAATAATCTGTTTTTTAGATTATCCTTGTCTTGCAGAGAGGGGGCAAAGCTCGGAAAGGATTTCCCAAAGGTTATTCCTGCATGAAAGGCTCTTCACTTCCTTCTGGGTTAAGTACGTGTGTAGGCTTTGCTCAGCAGAGAAAATATGTGGCCATGCACCTCTGGGAGAAACATCAGGGCCAAAAATCTTCAGAGTTCTTAGGGATGTGAGGACAAGGAGGAAAATGCTGCTTACCTCAAGAAGTAATAGGAGCTCTCTTGTGTGTGGACCAGAACAACAGGCAGCTGTGAAGGAAGGGGGGTGCCTTGGTGTACCTTTGAGTACCTTTGAGTTTGCTTGTTGGAATCTACTTCACTAGGGCACTAGCGAAGTAATTCTCTGAGGAAAGTAGGAATTGCAATTGCATCTGTCTCATGCTTCAGAAGTGCAGAAAGGCCCTTTGCTTTATCCTCTGGTCAAAAATCAGGCATAGCCAGGGAGCAAACAAACGGAACCAAGATCTCACTTGATGCAGAAGACTTGTATGAAGAATCTGTGAAGGTTTGAGTTAAATTTTTGTCTTTTTGAAGTCTGAATGACCAAAACAGTGTTTTCAATGCAGTAACAACCTGAAAACTGATAGATGAATTTCCACCTGGTTTCTCCAATCTGGTATTTTCTCCAAGGCTAATCAGATTTTAAAGCAGTTTCTGAAGAGCAGAGTGTAGATGGAGGGAGCTTGCACTATGGGTGTATTCTACAAAGAGCAACCTTTTTTCTAGTTTGTATTTTCAACCTCATACAGTTTTTGAACAGGAGTCCTTGTACACAGAACTAAGCAGCTGTCTAGTTACACATTCATAATTTCTCATTCATATTCTTGATTCCTTTTAACTTGCATGTGGAAATAGTCTCTCGGAACCTAACCCAAGTCCTGCTGGTGTCAGTGAGAGTGGATTTTATTACCCCTCAAATTTAGCCATCTAAAATCAGATATGTATTCGAAGTGCAACTGTGGAAGAGCCACTTGCTCTCAAAGTCAAGAAAGATCAGCATTTCTAGGGCATGATTCCTACTATCTGCCTGAAAGATTTGTCTGGAGAGGGGACATGTATAGTTGTGGCAGCAGCTGTCTCAATCCAAGCTTATCAAGGGAGCCTGCACAACTAGCCTACAGGAATCCTCACTTTTAGATAAATGAAGTCAAGGGAAAGAGTCTTATGAGTTCTTTTAATGGCAAAAGATTGAGGCTTTTAGTTTCCTACAACTTTTACAAGGGGATAAATTATGAACAAGAAAGCAACGTCCCAGAGGATGTCTCAAGTTGCATCCCATAGGTTGCTAACTTTGGCCTCAGTCAGTATTTGTGATGTAAGGAAGGGACTTTAGCACTTTCCCAAAATAAACTTCTGAAGAAAAATAAGCCTTTTTAAAGTTGTTTGTAAATTGCATCATAGTGTGCTGCCTGACAGGCAGGGCAATCTGATAGAAATCTCAAAGAAAAGGCAGGAGCTTTTCGTCTGTCTTCTCCAAAGATACACGCAGTGGGATATATGGAATATCAAGAATAATTAGACAAAACTATACAAGCTCCTTGCAACACTAATGTGCTCTGTAATTAAGTATTTGCCACAAAACTTTAAACATTGTTTGAAAGCTGCACGTTAAAGGTAACCTGAGTAATTTTTAAGTATTGTTTCCGATATATTAATAAAGACATGGATATGAAAAAGCAGAAAACTGTGAAATACTGACATGCCTATGCTGATGTAGGCTGCTCATTTTCTCCTTTCTAAAGATGATATATAGAAGTAATTGATCCCTCTCCTACAGCAATTAAAGTGAAAAGGCAGATTTCCTGTGCTCTTCATCTGCTGGAGCCTGTTTAACAAGCAGGCAAAGAATTATATGCCAGTATCAATAATTCACAGAGGCTGCAGAAATGTTTTTTTGGAAGGAACCTCTGGAGGTCTAACATCCCACTTGCAGCAAGACCCCCAGATTCAAAGGAGAAATAAAGCTGCAGGAAAATACAGACAAAAATGTCCTTTAGAAATGGGAAATAAATGAATGCATAGAAAAAGAAGGAGAAAGGAGAGAAGAAAGAGGAAAAAGAAATCAGTATTTAATAAGATGTGCTAATACTAGAAGTGTAGGATTTTTGCCAAAACCTTTTTTTTTTTTCTAGGTTCACTAACAGATGTGTTTTTATCTTCTAGGAAAATGATGAGCAGGAGGAAACCTGGAAGCTTTCTGCTGTGCTGTTGAATATGGAAATATAAAAACTTTTTTATCTGAAGTATCTCTGTCCCCCTTTCAAATGGACTACTTCTGAGTTAGAACTACCTGCTACCCAAAGCAGCCACTTCTTTCACTGTGCATCCTGGAGAGGAAAATGAATTTCACAAATTGTACCACTGAAGCCAGTGTGGCTGCAAAGCCAAAAACTGTAACTGAGAAGATGCTTGTCACCCTGACCTTGGCCACAATCACAACCCTGACTATGCTGCTGAACTCTGCTGTAATCGCAGCCATCTCCACAACCAAGAAGCTCCACCAGCCCGCAAATTATTTAATATGCTCGCTAGCTGTGACAGACCTTCTTGTTGCTGTCCTCGTCATGCCCTTGAGTATTACTTACATAATGATAGATAAGTGGACTTTGGGATACTTCATCTGTGAGATCTGGTTGAGCGTCGACATGACCTGTTGCACGTGTTCAATTCTTCACCTGTGTGTTATTGCTCTGGACAGGTACTGGGCTATCACTGACGCCATCGAATATGCCAGGAAAAGAACAGCAAAAAGGGCTGGGTTGATGATAGTCACCGTGTGGACCATCTCCATTTTCATATCAATGCCCCCTTTGTTTTGGAGAAACCACCACAGTGTCAGCATCCCCAGTGAGTGTCGCATTCAGCACGACCACGTCATCTACACTATTTATTCCACATTTGGGGCGTTCTACATACCCTTGACTTTGATCCTGATCCTGTACTACAGAATCTACCACGCTGCAAAGAGTCTCTACCAGAAGCGGGGCTCGAGCCGACATCTCAGCAACAGGAGCACCGACAGCCAAAACTCCTTCGCCAGCTGCAAGCTCACACAGACATTCTGCGTCTCGGACTTTTCCACCTCTGACCCCACCACAGAGTTTGATAAAATTAATGCATCCGTGAGGATCCCCCCTTTTGAGAATGACTTGGACCTGGCTGGTGACCGGCAGCAGATCTCTACCACGCGGGAGCGAAAGGCTGCTCGCATCTTGGGACTGATTTTAGGGGCTTTCATTTTGTCCTGGTTACCCTTTTTCATCAAGGAGCTTCTTGTGGGCCTCCACCTTTGCATTGTCTCACCAGAAGTAGCAGACTTCTTGACCTGGCTGGGATATGTCAACTCCCTCATCAATCCTTTGCTGTACACAAGCTTTAATGAAGATTTCAAGCTGGCCTTCAGAAAGCTCATTAGGTGTCGAGAACATACTTAAAAGCACTGGGAGATGATGATGATGACATGACTCCTGGCCTTAAGAACGAGCAAAATAATTTGACTGTTGTCATTTCCCTTGACAAAGGGGATTTTGATGTTTGCCTCTTTGCTTAACTCTCTTCAGCCAGTAATTTGTTCTGCTGTTTCTTTTTTACCTCTGGTGTTATTCACGGTAAAAATTTGAAATAAATTTATTCTACAAAGGAATGGATTTTTTTAGCAATGAAACAAACAAACAGACAAATAACAACAAGAAAATATTAGATATTCACATTTAAGGCATTTTGTGTAATCAATGATTCAAGAAGGAAACAACAGTATTCACATTTATTTTATACTTTTTTCATTTAAGAATCGAATGTCTAAGTGACGTGCACTGTAGTAATATGAAGGCTTGTAAGCTGAATCCAGAAATTCATGTTCAAAAATTAATAAACTTCACGGTCATAAACTTCACTGTGGCATTTTGAGAAAACTGTAACCGTTTTTTAGAAGGAAAATAAGCACCATTACAGCAGAATAACCCATTCTATTCTTATCCCCACCGAAATGCACTACCAAAACAGAAGGCAAAGTTCATTTAATTCTTTCTAAAAACAGATCTCATTTTGTACTCCAAAGTAATCATTTAAGTGACCTTTTTTTTTTTTTTTTTTTCCTAGTTTCCTGATTTATGTTAAAAGAGTTGGACAGAAACTGTGCAGTTTTTCTGGCAACTGAGAGAACACAGCTAGCAAGAGTCACACTTGTAAGATGAGCTGCACACCTGAATGATCACCTTTTTAATACTGCTGTTCAATACCACATTCCTTCAGGGCTCAGGCCATGTGCCTTGGTCAGTTGTGAGGTGGCATTATCCAGTTTTTCCCCACTTCCCCTGGACCCTGCAGTGCACAACACCACGGATCATCGACCTTAACCCACAGACTCAAGCAGCTGTATGTTTTCTCAGCAGGTCAGTAAAGTACAGTGTTCAGAAATATCATCTGGAAAAAAAAAAAAAAAAAAAAGACAAATTACTTCGTTTGAACTGCAGTAGCAGAAAAGAAATAAGGAAAATAACTTTTTAAAAATAGCACACTTCGTCTTTCAATATGTAACGGCATTCTTATCACTTAACCTGCGATCAAACCCTCTAGAGGAATTTTTTGCTCTGGCTGTTCTCCAAGGAGTTACTTCTCTCATCCAGATAGAGTCCTTCATATCCTTTCTTCTGTGTTTATGGAAGCTAAAATGCCTTGGCTCGTTTGGAAATGAGGCTGGGGAGAAGCAAAATCAAAGCTAAGAATCTGGCACTGCCCATTAGTAACTCCTAAATACTGATGAAATATTGATTACTTATCTTGCTACACAATTTTCTTTCCTGTCCATTTTTTTCTGGACAAATTCTTTTTGAATTAAACCAACATACCATATAGAAAATATCACATATATAACCGTGACATGTAGTAACTGAACTACAGCATGGCAGCTCTAAATCCATCGAAACAGATAACAGGCAGCAAGAGCGTTGTAACAGCACTGGAAGCCAACTCTGGAAAATGTTTTGAAAATTTACAACACAGAGTCATTTTTCCTATCAAGAGTCCAGGAATTATAAGTAATGTGAGTAATAAACTCTGGACGGAGCTGAGAAATGACATTCTTGTTTCTGAGGGAAACAAGGGTTTGGTTGGAAAGATGCAGTTCTGCAAGCTGAGTGTAAATCAAATCTGAGGGTGACAAAAGCATGACCTACTGCTTACCCACATTCAGCAGGACTCTGCTTCAAGGACTACAAGTTTTCCACACCTGGATTTAGGAGGCTTATCTCCAGCTGTCCTTCTGAAGCTATTGTCACTGCTGTCACCTCCATCTATCTTTGGTTCCCTGATAGTTAGCATTAATATCTAAAAAGAGGGAAAAACAGTCATCTCAACCACTGAGGATGTCTTCCAGTGGGGAAGCCCAGAGATCCACTATGATTTTTCATTTTCACAGTTTGATGGAGATGGAAACTGTCCACTGAAGGTGGGGATCCTGCCTGTAAAACTCCCAAAGCAGCCTCACAGAGTACATGTTCTATTAGGGAAAAAATAACCAAATGCCCAAAATGGTGAGGGTGATCTCCAAAATAGCTGCTACTGGTAGGGAGAAACGCTTCCAAGAGTGGCACGAAAACTGTAAAACAGACAAGCTGCATGATCTTCATTTCTACTTAAGACCTTCATGTATCTGATCTCCACTATTATCACTCAGGCTACCAATCGGTGTCAGGTTGAAGACTGTTTAATTTTAATATCTAGAGGCAATGAACAGGGGAAAAAAACAGATGGATGGCTAATTTTTGTGCTTCCTTCTGAAATACTCAGCATTCACTGTCAGCCGACTGCTGCTTTTGTAGTTCAATCATCAGTTAAACACAGAGCTATGTTTTCTAACAAAACATCAGTCATTAGACTGATGAAGATGTCTTTTATGTTTTCTCCACACACAAAGCCAGGAATAGCTTAAAGGACAGTTGACTTACAACAATTTAACTTGATCAGAAATTACCTGCCGTCTGATGGAAATAAAAACCTTTGCTAGTCTGGCACCATTACTTGACAATCTCATTTTTTTTTCCACGTTAAGAATTTGTGGATTTTATGAAAGGTTTAGACATTTTCCAAGCTTAGACTTCTTTTCCATGGAAAATCCCCATTTATTCCCATCCTGGGTTAAGCGACACCGTGGCCTGCAATGCAAGCTCTTCTCAGCAAGTTCCTAATGAAACATCCAAGACCTTCACCTGACATCCACTTTCCTTAGACACTCTGAAATATCTTTTCTCCCCGAAGTCTCATTTTCCCTAAAGATCCCCTTACTCCTTTCCTACCCTTCTTCCTATCATCTCCCTCTAAAGGTCTCTTCCCAAGCCCATCCCCATTCTCAACACAGGCTACATATACTTGCTTGCATAACCCCTCCTCTCTTCATTCCTTTATACTTATTTCCTCTTATTTTACACCCCCGATTCCCCATCCCTCCATTAAGTTTCTGACTCTTTAATCCCCAAATTTATTTTTGTCCTGCTGGAGCAAGGCCCTACACTCTGCTTCCATCTTCTCTCTTTCAGTGCTGCTATCAGCATTCTCGTGAGCTTGAATATTCAGATCAGCTGCTTTTTATCATCTCTTACATGTGCTCCACATTTCCAGAGCTAATTTTCTCTATTTAAGCAGCCACTTCTTTGGAGCAAGTTCATATATCCCTAGTCCCAATAAGCCTCTTTGAGAGTGGGGGTTCTCCACCACAGTGATGCACTCAGCTATTTGAAGCACATGAGATTTATGTTGTTGATCTTCCTGTATGCAGATGGACGATGGAATTGAACTCTCCAGAACAATTTAAAACAAAGTCCCTGTTTCACCAAGTGTATACTGAAAGGGCTGCCACTTTTTGCATTTTACTGCCACGTGTGTGAACTGTGCAGTTTTTCATAGATGCTACTTCTTTTTTTTTTTTTTTTTTTTGGTACTGCCAGCAGTCTGTCATCTGCATGTACAAGAAGGAAACAAAAAAACACAGCTTTATTTGTCACAAGATGCTAAATGAACAAAGGAATCTTTTCTAATGGCTCTTCATGCTTCTCCATTTTCAACTCCAGTCATCAAAAAGTAAACAGGATAACAGGATTGCAGCACTGGGAGGAAAAACAGGCCTCCAGCACAAGTGGAGAGATTATTCTTGTGCCTTGTGTCCTTTCATTAACCATTGCAAATATCAGTGATGGACTGTTTGATGTTCATCTTTTACACACCCAAATGATTTATATGAGAAATTATCTTAAATTGCTTTGTTGTTTAAGTGGACATAGATATTGTGATATCTTTTATTGGTGTAGCCAATATATTACAAGTTGTATTTGATAAGAGTCACATGCAACACACATATTACCTTTGTAACTGCTATCTGTTTACTTTTCAGGCCAAAAAGAATAAAATTTTATAAAATTATATGAGTTTGGATAAATGCCAGCTTTATCAGCTATAAAAATACTCCTTATCATTTTCAATTTTGTACCATGTACATAATATTGCCAGCATTTCTCCCTTATTCCTCTACCACTGCCAGGGGGGTTTTACTTTTTCATGATTACATGTAGATGATTTTATGTATATTGCCTTCAGTATGATGAAATTATTCCTTTTCATCCAGTCTAAGCCAGACGTTTGCTACTTTTGAATTAAAATAAACCAGAAATTATAGCCTGCCATGCCTGTCAGCCCTGGAGAACAACTTACAACATTCTGCATGGTTTAGTGTGGCCTTGCCCAAGTGTACAGTCCTTGCATTACAGATTCTTCCTCAGTGTGTCGGGGAAGAACTCCACTTATTTCCATGAACATTGAATCAGCCCTTAAATGTAAACTTTCAGTGTTGCTCCTGTAAGTAGAAGAAAAAACCATGAGTAACCTGTGCGGGGAAAAAAAAACAACCATACACTAGCAAATGTTACGAACCTCTGCTTAAAAGATAAAAGGGTTTTTTTTTTACCATTTTTTCCTTTTTAATCACTTTGATTTCCTCTTCATCTTACCATTCAAGAGCTGTATGTATGTGGCACTAAAGGACATGGTTTGTGGGCATGGTGGAGATGAGCAGACAGTTGGACTAAGTGATCTCAGAGATCTTTTCCAACTTTAATGCATCATCTATTCTATGACTCCCTTGCCATTCCTTTTCCCCCCATTCCTTATCTGCCTTTCCTGCCTTCCCACTACAGCCTTTCTCTGAGCCACAGTGGCATCAAGTAACCTGCAGCAAGCAGCAAGGCCACCTTGGGCTGTGCTAACACACAACATCACTATGCTCTTGGTTTTAGGAATTCAGGCTGCAGACACTGTTCCGTGGTACTGCTCTGCACAGCTTCTGCTCCCATTTCATTGCAGCTTAACTACCAATCAGATATCTAACATGCATCAGGATTCTTTCAAATGAAGGATACTAAATAATACATTATGGTGGCTTCACATG